ATCTCACCCCACACGCAGCGAGAGCGACATGAGAGATTCCAGATCCACCCCGGGATCGTCGGAAATGGTGGCCGGATGACGACGAACGGAGCCGACGACGAACGGAGCCGGCGAAGTTTCTGTCAAAACCGGCGCGATTCCGAGCCTTTTCCGGCAGATTCCGGCGGTTGCTGCTGTCGGGGATGGTCGGGAAAGGTTGCTGGTGTGACGGCGGTTCGAACCCGACCGGTCTGGTGGCCGGTGGTGCACCTCGGCGGCAGCGGTGGCCAAAACAAGCCGTCGGTGAACAATACCGGGGGGGGTGTCGCGCGAAGGAGAAGACCGGAGAGAGAGAGAGAGACACGGGGGCAGTTCCGTCTTTTTATCAAAAATCCATTTTCAAAATATTTACGATTTTGCCACTGGTTATGTTTTGCCCGTAACTTCTTCGTTACAGCTCCGATTTAAGTCCACTACGTCTCTACGGACTCATCTCGCCGTGCTCTACGCAACGGTATAGTCGAAATTCCCAAATTCCTTCCGGATAAGAAATGACCAAATTACCCCTATCCCAAGGGTAAATTCGCAATTCCACTTAAATAAATTAAAATATGCAATAAATTTGGAGTCGGGGTGTTACAGGTTCCTTGAGGATTTGTACGTTCTACATGTTAACCAAATGAAATACGTACTCATTGCATATTTTGTGCGAATTAATATCAAATGACAAAGAACAACCAAAGAAAGCAACAGCAATGAGGAAAGAGCCATGATATGATACCATCAGTAACTTGGTATTCATTACTTGAAAAAGAATAAGTAATATTTGCATACATACCATCTGCTCAATATGATCGACGATCTGCTTCGAACACTTCAGGATGCTTTCAGTGATGGAGAAAAGAGAATCAACATTAAGGGCATCGTGCTCATGGCAAACAACATGAGTGGCATAAATGCCTTCCAAGATTTTTGTGTCAGTCCGGGCAAACAGGCTCTTCTGATCAGCAGCCTTAGCGTTCTCCACACTATTGTAACTATCTACTTGAGAGACTGGCTTTTTGAATGTTAGGACATCCATGATGATATATGGCTTGGAAGTAGTCTGATCTAAACATATATGTTGGGAATATTATTTCTAATCCTAGCCATTCAACTGTTAGATTATTACGTTAATACACATCTCTCCATTGGTTTCACGTGTTGCCGAGGTGTTAGTCACATGTTGTTGCAATTAAATATTGCCATTGGCCCACTAGGCATAGTTGATAAATGATGACCTTTTAAGTCTTTCATTAACATGGTTCTGAATTTTTGAAATTTGTAATTAGGTGGAAGTGGTAAATTCAAACACTAAACAAGCTGCTCAAGGATCTGACTAAAGTATTTCAAACAACTATATAACTAGCCTATTACTAGACACACACCAGAGATTACACAATGATCAGCACACACAAGCAATAAACAAATCAAAAACCCAGGCAAGTTCAGAAAATAACTGTGTGACAGCTTAAGCACTCAGAAGGACCCGTCAATTTAGGCATCTCTTGTGTTAACAACAACTAAGATGCATAGTGCCTGAGCATTCATCAACATCATAGATATTACAAACATGATAAAGCTAGACATAAAATTCAGATAAACACGCAAGACATGTTCACCCACAAACCCACTATTGGTCAATACTTCGACAAGGCAATCCATTAAGTCAAGAAGGCAAAAGTAAACTCAACCTCAAACAATCTTAGATCTATTAAGAAAACGAGCACTACCTCCCTATGCAACATTCTTATATCCAAACTTAGTTGAGTTAGAAGCTGTTCTTTATGGAAGTGGCACCCAGTCCATCAGCTGCACCACAACCCAGCTCTGGATAGTAACAGATGTATGAAATGTAGATTCGATGTAAAAAGGAATCGACTTCTTCAAGAAACCATTCTTGAACAAATTGATCAAGAATTCGACCTAGATATAGATATCGAATCATTGCTTTCAAGTACTCATGAAAATATGTCCTAACAGTTCCCCGATCTAGTAAAATTAAATTTTATGACGCGATTCTTATGATCTAGTAAAAAATTGCAACCATCTCCTCTGTGGACACATTTCGAGTCAACCATAGTTCTCCTTTAGTGACCAAAATTTGACAAAGCTTATGAAAAGATTGTCTATCCATCCTTAGTTGGTCAATACATGTAGTATCACTCTCATAAACTAGTCTATGTAGGTATTCTAGTTGTTTGTAAACTCTTTTCACCGAAGGAAGACTTGGTCGACGACGTAAACATATCAATTACTGATTTGTAAACATACTCTTAAGGTGCTTTTATTTTATAGAAACATCTTCTCCACAAATATATATATATATATATATATATATATATTGGCATCGTACAAATGTCATAGCTCATATTTCAGGTCTTTCCTAACTCAATTTAAACCAACCACTTGGGATTAATAATTATTTTGTGCCTCAGTTAAATATCATAAATTCGTGATCCAGTTATGCGGCACCACTGGTCTTTTGAAAACAGTATGCTGATTCCATTCTGGCCATGGAGCTTAGTCGCTTTGGATGTCCGGATTGTTTGATGTGGCATTTTACAAAAGATGGGATCTATACTGTAAAGTCGGGGTATCGGGTGGCAGTGGAGTTGGATTCCAATGGCCTCCTTGGAAGACGAGGGGATGGAGGAACTAGTGTTGATAGAGGAGGACGACGGCTATGGAAATCAATCTGGGAATTGAACGTGGCGGGCAAGATTCGTCGCTTCATCTGGAGATGCTGTCGGAACTATTTAGCTGTGCGATGTAATTTGAGGCAGCGGGGTATGCAGATTGATTCGGCGTGCCCATCCTATCAGCAACCCAACGAGACGGTAGCCCATCTTCTGTTCCATTGCAACTATGCACGATTGTTCTAGTTTGCATGCCCCATTCAATTAGATGTTCGGACGTTGCAGGGGGGGACCTTTGCGGACATATGGTTGGAGTTGTGTGATCGTTTTGCACAGGAGTCTGGGAGGGATGAACTGCTGAGCTCCATTGCATACGGGCTCTGGCGGCTATGGAAGTGCCGAAACAATCTGGTATTTGAAGGGATTCCGGTTCACCCAGCTGAGGCTGTGTAGCTTATGATCAAATAGCAAACTGAATTTTTGCAGACTAAGGAGACGACACCTATCCAAGGAGGTGGCGGAGAACATCGAAGCATGGGCACTCAACAATGGTCCTGCCCTTCGATGGCTTTTGTTAAAATCAATTGTGACGGGGCATGGACGTCAGAAACGTTGCGTGGTGGGTGGGGCTGGGTGATACGTGATGAAGCTGGGGTGTTTAAAGGGGCTGGGGGTGAAGGGTGCGATGCGGCGCTGCAATAGTTACTGAAGCTGAAGCATTACGGGCAGGCCTGTGTAGGTGGTGGTCTTGTCTTTTGTTCCTAGAATAACTAATAAGGTGGCACATTTAGCTGCTGCCTTTGCGTCCAATACCCAGGGTGTGAGTAAGTGGGAGGGATCTCCCCCCTTATGGTTAATTGCTTCGTTGGCAAGTGATGTCACCTCTTCTTTTACTGTTGAATGAAATGGATTTATCGTTTGGAAAAAAAAAAAAAAGTATATCATTATCGTATATGTCCAACAAAATTAAAGTCAACTGTGGGCCGCACTGCATATGATCCGATCCAAACGGCAATATGTAGAAGCGACGACCGTCGCCGTCATCGTTTTAGATATTGCGGACATCACATTGTTTAACGTCATCATTGAAGCATGAGATACTAACGTCTGAAATATTAATGTATTTTCAATTATTATTTTTTAAACAAAGCAATAAAAACTCGAGAGGGAGCTTCACAGAAAAATCTCTCAAAACACCCTAGATTTATAATAAAGAAATACATGTCACCAAAAAAGAAAAGTAATAATAATAATACAAACGATAATTTAAACTATAGAGGGAGGGGGGGTTTCTCATACACACTATTTGAGGGTTCGAACCTAAGACCATTAATATGTAAGTCAATATCCCTTTTCACTATGTTAGATCACTTGGTATAGATCTACTGTTGAGAAGGTGGCACTCTTTATGTCATTTCTAAGAATTAGTGGCGTTTATTCTTTCTTTTGTTGATGTTTTTTTAGATTTTTATTCTTAGTCTTCTTCTGTCAATAAAGTCTAGAAACTCTATGAATTGTCTATATATATTTTTTACAAATTTATAAATAAACCCAATCCTAGACATTTATTTATAAAAAAACCCAAGCACTATTTAAACATAGAAATACACCCAAAATCAACCCCAAAGTCAACTTTTTGGGTGTGTTTATAAATGGGTTTTGAGTGTGTGGAATGATGGGTTTTGGGTGTGTTTATATGTTTAAATAGTGCTTGAGTTTTTTTTTATAATTTCAACCTCCATTTTAGGTGTTTTAGTGAAACTCCCTATATTTTTTTCCTTTCTCATATAAAAACTTAGTTGAGTTTCTTTGGTCTCATGTCAGTTAGTCGCATAGATATTCGAAAACACTGATTTTTTGGGTTTTTTTTTTTTTCTGGAAATAATTGAAGGCTGGGCCCTGGGTGGTGATGTGGCTAGTGATTGGGCTTTCCTTCGAACATATTAACTTTCAATTTGGGCTTTTGGCGTCTAACAAGCAATTTTTGTCTTTTCGAAGAGATTAACTTTCAATTTATCTAAATGAAACTAAAGTTAAATGACCACGGGAACCATTTTGAAAATTGAGGTACTCAAATGCAAATCGGGTATAAATTTAGGGACTAATAAAACGATGGTTATGTCACTGAACTTCTTTTGATCGTAACTCCTTCGTTACAATTCCGATTTGAGTCCACTACATGTCTACGAACTCGTTTCGTCGCGCTCTACTCAACGGTACAACTAAAATTCCCAAATTCCTTCCCGGTCAAAAAGTCAACTTGTAACTAATAAAATATTCTAGGGGTATTTTTGTCTTTTTCTCAAATAAATTAATAATTAAATATTAATTTTGGGTTTGGGTTATTACATCCGTGGAGTCAAAGAGCCGATGATAGTGGTTAAGACCAAACGATATGACGCAGCCTCCAACATTGAGGAGAGAAAATGCATTGCAAAAACTTATAAAGACCACAGGGCAATCGATAGATTGGGTAGGTAAACTGAATCCACCAAGACCCACCCCAGATCCCAGCACAAGCTGGGAGGGAGAGGGAACGGGGTCAAAATAGGGGATTCAAATCCTAGATCTGCAAAATAAGCAAAACCAGAAACAAAGGGCCAAAACTAAGCCACCAAAGGGCAGAAACCTGTAAAAAAACAACATAAAATAAACCGAAGCCTTCACGGCCTAGAAGAACCAAAATAAGCTTAAAAAAAGAGGGACTGGCTCTGCAAAAACAGAGCAGCACCCGTGGAGGAAAATTTTTTTGGGGGGAGGGGGAATGGAAGAGGGAGGAGAAGGTAGGAAAAAAAAAGGTGGTAAAGGAGAAAATCAAAAAGAAGGAGATGAGAGAAAAGAACAGAGAGCAAAAGTTAAAAAAACAGAAAAAGTGAAGGTAGAAAACTGGAAAGAGAACAGAGAAGAGAGGAGAGGAAGGGGGACGAAGAAGAGAGGGGGAGAGGGGACCAGGGAAAAAAGGAAGGGGGGAAGAAGGAGAAAAAAAAACAGAAAAAATCATAACAAAGAACCAAAAAGATGGAGGAGACCCCTGGCGGCGCTAGAAGAGAGGGGGGCTAGGGTTCAGGAGGCAGAGAGAGAGTTTTTTGAAATTCCCTTAATTCTAGTGGTGATTGGATAGGGGGTTTTGCTGTCAATTTGGGGATAGGGAATATTCTTGATGTTGAGCCGTGCAGAAAGGCCTATCTCATCTTATTATTGAAATGGATTCTGTAGTGGCTGTGAATCTTGTGCAGAATTTTGATTTGCTTTCAGCTCATCCTTTGGCCGGTTTACTCTTTGGTTGTACTGAATTTCTGAGATAGAGTGGGCATTTGGAGATTCATCACATTTATAGGGAGAAGAATTCAGTTGTAGATTGTCTTGCGGCGTGGAGCTATAATCTGGATTTGAGTTGCTGCTTTTTTGAGGAGGCTCCGGACTGGCTTAGTTCAATTTTGTTAGATGATTTGTTAGGGGCTTGTAAGCCTCGTTTGGTTTCCTGTTTGTACTGTTTCTGGGGTTTTTCCCCCCTTGCTCATAAAAAAAAAAAAGTCATGTGATTGAAATATACTAAAAATATAACGTTTGATTTTTTCTTATAACTGAATAATAATACGGTAGTAAAAATTGAGAAGGAGGACATTAGGCTTTTTTTTGTTTCTGTAAAAAAAAAAAAAAAAGAACAAACATTTATCCCGCAAAGCTACTTGTGAATGGCGTACACGGTCTGCACGACGGTGAGAGCCAGAAGTATAGCAGCTGCAATGAGAGAAATGGCACTCCATGGGTTTGCAAAATAGTCACGGTTCAACTTTTCAAGCCACCTGTACCATTTGATCTGGTAATGCATTTTCACTTGAGCGCAGAGTTCATCATAGTAGAACTTTTTGAGGACAGTGTCGTTGCAGAGCTTGCTGAAGTAATTGGCACCATCTTCAGCGCTCAACCAGTTATCTATGATCCGTTTCTCACAAAGAATCTCCATGTCCTTGCTGGAAGCCACGAGTTTATTCATCAAAAAGGCATAAGATGTTATTTCATGCGAATGGTGATGGTAGCATTGCTCAAAGGCAATGAGGTTCCTGAACAGTGGATCTGTCAGCTCCCCAATTGATAGGTGTGGAATTTTAAAAGTACCTCTTCTGTATCCAAAATAACGAAAGACCCCCTTTTCGAATTCGATATTCATTATGCTGCCAGCATCAGAAACGCTTCGAAATTTAACGCCTGCCTGTGCTAAAGCAATTGCTGGAGGAAACTCCGAGTCCATATCTGCCCCTAACTTCTTATTATTGATGGTTCTTCTTATTTTTGGTCTACAAAAAGCTTTCTTCTTTTCTTCTTTTTCTCTTCTCTTCTTTTCTTTTATGTGCTCCTGGAATGGAAAAACTATCGAAGTTCTTATCAGATCAAGTATGTGCAAAGTATTGTAATTTGTGTCATGCTTGTTCTCATGAACATACCCTAGATAGGAGTCGCAGTTGTGGTTCAGTGGTTTTTGTGAGGTAAAGGCTGTGAGCATGAGGATAGTGAGGGAGGGACTATATTTTTTGGGTTCAGGGTCGGGGGTACGGTTATATAAATGCTCCAGGACAAACCAAGGTAACTGATTTTCAAGCAGCAACAGGTCATGGCATAGATATTGGAACATGCAATCCATTCTGAAGATGGGGTCATTTCCGTCAACATGTTTCTCATCAGAAGTTTGTCGTACCACAAAATTCCGGAACAATTCCAAGTCATTCTGGCTCATATGATCAAGCGATTCAGCATAAAATCCGCGGGTGGATTTCTCTAGCTTAAAGACGCAATCAATTAAGTCTTTCAAGCTCACATTTGTTCTACATGACAAAAGATTATTTAAATACCACTGTTTCACATTTTCCATGTGTTGAAATTGTTTACCTCCATGGTGAAATGGACCGATTGAGACAAAATCAGGTTCGTATGCCTCTCGTTTATGTCTCTTGAGTACCTGGGGAACTCTGAAGATGCAGCATTTGGCATCCCAGGAGGGTGAACCAGGGCAAAGCTTTGCTCTCATGGTGTTTTCCAATGCCTCAAGCCCAGTACCTCCGTCTACTATAGGAACTGAAATATGGTCTCTGGTATTACTTTCTGTACCATTCTCCATTATAACCTTTAGTCTCGAAAGGCTGAAACAAAGCTGCAGTGGCAAGGAAATCCAATTAATTATAAAATAAACATGTAATCTAAACCCATTTTGTATTTTGATTAAAAAGAAAAAAAATGACAACAGGAAAAGGGAACCAATTGTAATACCTGGAGGGTTAATGAAATTGTTCACAGTATGCAACGAAGACGCAAGGAGGATTTGTAGAAACTGCAACGCAAAGAGGTCATCATAGAAACTGATTCTGGCTAGGATTATTGCAGCCCATATGAAACTGGAAAACTCAACTAGCTAGACTCTAAGAAAGGTGTAGGAAAATTGTCCAAGAACTTCATCTATTATAGTCAACAAGCTCTTTCTTTCTTTCTTTTTATTTTATGTCTCCTCGAGTGATGTTATTTTTTTTTCCTTGCTTGATGTTTTTTTATTTATAAATCTTCACATGTTACAATCAAACATTGCCACCGGCCAGTCTGGCGCGGCATCATGATCGAAAGTCGTCCTTCATTTCTTTGATAAAACAAGGGTACATATCGAAAGAAATGGAACTTAAAATCATTTTCACAAGTTCTGGAAATTGAACTTAAAATCATACGAACATGTATGTATATAATATGATGTTAGATTAGTGTACATATCGAAAGAAATTGAAGAGAGTTCTGCAGTGACATGTATTATTAACAACACCTCAATGAACACCACCGACCGTCATCGTTTCTGTTATTGCCAACGTTAATTAGTATTAGTCAATGGTATATATATATATGCAAAACATCTCGGATCTTGTCAGACTTGCAAATCGCTTTTCCAGATTGAGCCAGGTGTAGGGGAGAAAATAATATGCTAATGATATGCATAGAAAAAGATGAAATTGTTTAGATTGAAGCGACAATATCTTTGGCTACGTATGCTAATGAGATGTCATATATTTATTATTCAAGCATGTTCAATTTTCAAAAACGAGAAACATAGTTAAGACGACTTGTAATGTGAATGCAAAACATAATTAAGAAGACATTCCCAATAACGTGGATATATTCCTCTATTGTATTCTATGTTCAAGAATCGAAGCAGGAATATTTTTATTATTTGCTTTCTTTCATGTAATGATCAAAACAGTTGCTAATGGGGTCTAGCCCAATTAAAAAAGAGTCTTGCATATCAGTGGTTTCATGTTCGAACCCTCGTGACACCTTGGTATCTGTGTGTGATGAGAAACCCCCTCCCTCTTTATAGAAGGCTTTGTTTTATCAATTTTTAAAGAGAAGCGGGGAATTACTGAAATTAATGGGCATGCAAACTCCACACCAATAAGACAGACTAGAGCCCTAAAGACTCATCATTAAATTGACCCAAAAAAATAAAAAAAGACTCATCATTAAATTGACCAAAAAAAAGACTCATCATTAATAGGTGACGACTCAATACTCTTAGTCACTCTTCATTAAAGGAGAGAAACTTCCCTATAGAATTGACTATTAAAGGTGCCTGCACGATGTTGCGGGTTACAAAGTTGTGAAAATATGTAGCAAGTTGCAAAATAAAGACTGATAACATGTTTTATATGTTGCTTTTCATGTTTATTAAAATATGAGCAATATTTTAATAAACCAAGTAGCAACAAAATATCAGCAATTTTGCCTTTACATATATGCTACTGGTGGGGGAAGGCGATTTTTCTGCCTTGATGTCTGTTGAAAGGAGATCTATCTGTTGCTGGCTCTATTGTAGAAGTGGTTTCTGTTCTTTCTTGTCTTCTGCGGGGGTTTTAACTCTGTTGGTACAAATTATTAAAAATGGTATAATAGGAATTGGCTATGAACAAATTTTAAAAGAAAATTCCAAGTCTAATCAAATTTGTATGGCAGTTTTTTTAGGGTCTCTGATCACCAGTGGAGCAAAATATATGAAGACAGTATGAAATGAAAGAAACCCAAAAAAAAGGGAGGAAATACCAAGCTTTCATTCAAATCAAGAAACACAAATAAAACATTTTGAACGAAAAGACGAAAAGTTAACTACTTTGAGCGTAATATTCAAGGACAATTAGTGAACAAAAAGTTTCGAACGAAAACAGGAAAGAGAAAAATAAATTTCACCCTTGTCTAGCTTGCAAAGAACCTCCTTCTACTCACAGCTTTTTCTTGACTCTCTTGTACACTGTTAACATCTTGCAAAAAATGAAAATAAATGAAAATCACCACGTCAACTAAAAACATCAAATGAACTAATGCTTTCTAATTGAACACATTGTAGTCTATATAACCCAAGAAAAATGTCAAATTATGACCAGATAAATCCTTCATATTTTCCTTATGACAGAATAGTAGGAAACAAAACAATCACTTTATCTATGAAATGAATGGGATCTAAATCACACAGAGTTCCATCAATATCAAATAGTACTGCTTCAAGTGGAGGGGGAAAAAAAGACAATGAGGCATTATAGTACAACAAAAGAATGAAACCAAAACAATACAAATGTAACACTTGCGCTACATGTTTCTCTATAATTTATCTTTCACCTTTTCATTGCTCAATTTGTACACAACATGAGATGATGCCAAACATAAATATACTTTTGAATAGTTGGGATAATTTATTTTACTACTTTTGTAGTAACTACAAAAGAATTGTAACATTACAAATCATGAAGCATGAAGCATGAAACTTAAACTGAATATTTATTTAACCAAAAACTAATATGAAGTGCTACCCAAAGATGAAAAATATGTTCAATTGTTGAAATAAATATCACTGAGTTCCAAATCCAAGGTTTTGGCAACTACCCACTAAAAAGTCCAACACAAATTGGCTAGTGTGGAAACTAAAGCAAAATTTGGAAGCTGAAAAATTCCCCACAGACATAGACTAAAAACTTGGATTCGAAGAGAGGTTTGGTAATGCTGCTAGTAAAAGCTTAGCCAGAACGAAAAAGCAAAAGAAATGGATAACAAAATCACCCAGAGAGAAAGAGAGAATATTTTCTGTAAAAATGGCATTCCAAAACGAAATCAGAGCGTTACCTAAGAAAAAAAAAAAAGGAAGTGCAGGGTGTCTTGCAAGTCATGTTCATGCTTTGAAAAAATCAAAAATTAAAGTGAAACCATATGCGGATGCCAAAAAAA